GTTGCAAAACGGGGTGAAAACAATAACTTCCCGATTTTTGAAAATCTTCGATTTTCTTAGCGGGAAGTTAATAATGTTGAGTAACGGTTAAATCATAGTAATGAATTTTCATATTTAAATTTTTAATTTTAATAAAAAAAAAAATTTAGTTTCTATTATGTTTTACGGGGTGCACTGTCCGTGCAACTTTAAGATTCAGATTTTCATCGTTACATCGCTTCAATGTCTAATCCACCTTAATAGCTAACATTTTTTTGTTAAAATATAAACTATAGCAAATATTAATATATGTATTGATATATTAATGACAATCATTTATGTATCGCTATTAAAATTGCCATTGATTCTATTAAAAATTTTTGTAAAAAATTGACATCGATAAACATTATTTATTTCGATGAGTAATTACCTGAAAATTCCGTATTCTGCTTTAGATCTTCGAGTACTTCTGGCTTAAGTTTACTATTTTGTTTCCCCATTGTCTTTATTTAAATTTACGAATAAAATGATACTCTTAAAATAAAAATGATAATTGTTAATGTCCAAAATATGTGTGTGCCTGTTCAATCTGCAGTATTACAAAATAAATATGGAGCTGTGTCACCATGAACCTCAAAATTTTCTGCAAAAACAAAATTAATTCAAATGTTAATTTCTGTTAACACATATATTTACAAATATTCTTACATTTAAGGGGGTATTCTGGTCTATAAATTTGAAAAAATTAATTTTTTTGCATATTTTCAAAGTTTAGACTCTTAAGAACATGTCCTTAAATGGATTTATCAAAATTCGAATTATTTTCGAAGATACAGTAGATTTTGTGACGCAGCATCTAAGCCGACCGATCGGAGCAAGTCACACAATTACGAGCTTCTGCTTCATCAAAAAAAGGCAGAACAGCTCGATTAGCAGAAAAAACTTCGCAAAACATCGAGATGAAGAAGAACAAGGCCCAATGTATGGATCTGGGATCGCCAATTAATCCAAAGTAAGTATTAAATATTATTATCTGAGTTATTCTACTAGAATTGTTTCTCAAACTTTAAACGCGTTTTTCTCGATACTACTTTTTTGAAGTGGTTGACATGATATCTCAAGCTCTACGAAATCGATTCCTTTGAAATTTAGTGGGAATTTTTTTTACATATCTCTCTACCGCGTCTGCCTTGGATTCTAATAAATTTGAATTTGGAGTATTTTTAAAAAATTCAAAAAGGTACAAAAAGAGAGATTTTGTGAATTTTTTTTAACTTCCCGCTAAGAAAATTGAAAATTTTCAAAAATCGGGAAATTGTTGTTTCCACCCCGTTTTTCAAAAATCGAATTTTTATCAGATCTCGACGTTTTAAGTTCCTAGGAAGCTTTCCTGACTATTTCCGCGGTGATGTCATCGTGTGTGTGTGTGTGTGTGTGTGTGTGTGTGTGTGTGTGTGTGTGTGTGTGTGTTTTTTGTTTTTTTCGAATTTCTATTGGCTAGAACAGAAATGGACAGGTCTGATCAGGTCTGAGCGTATTTAATGCTTCAGACATGAACAGACATGAGCAGGCATGAACAGGCTTGATCAGGTCTGATCAGGTCTGAGCGTATTTAATGCTTTAGACATGAACAGGCTTGATCAGGTCTGATCAGGCCTGAGCGTATTTAATGCTTCAGACATGAACAGGCATGGACAGGCTTGATCAGATCTGATCAGGTCTAAGCGTATTTAATGCTTCAGACATGAACAGGCATGAACAGACATGAGCAGGCATGAACAGGCTTAATCAGGTCTGATCAGATCTCAGCGTATTTAACACTTCAGACATGAACAGACATGAACAGGCATGGACAGGTCTGATCAGGTCTGAGCGTATCTAACGGTTCAGACATGAACAGGCATGAACAGACACGGTCAGGTCTGATCAGGCCTAATTTCAGGCCTGATCATACCTGAACAGGCCTGATCAGGTCGGCTTTCAGGTCTGATCAGATATGAACAGGTCTGATCAGTCCTGATCATTTTTTCCCGGGTACACATGAAATTTTTGATTTCAAGAATTTATGTCTGATATAAGCGCTAAAGGTATGAACATTTGGGATGACCAATTTTTTTTTTTTTAATTACTGAATGATTCAGTAGATCAATAAAAACAAATTCAAACTCTTTATTTCTTTCCTTTCATTTCTTAATGGGGATCGTTTTGCCCCCCGCTCCCTTATTACGAATATATACTCTTGTATCAGGTAAATTTTATTATTAATAGAAATATTTTATTCTTGTATACGGAATGTTTAATAAAAAAAACAAAAAAAAAATGATGAAAAATTTCGCACAATGCTTTATTATTTTTATCAGTAATGATTATTATGAAATTTGATGTTCTTAGTAATTCATTTTTTACTTACAGATGAAAAAGCAGTTTTCGTACTAACTAATGTAGCAAGTTTGTTCCCACCAGTTTTAACAACAAAACAACGTAAAGAATCTAAAGCTTTCAAACCCAGTGGAAAGGGAATGCAAAGAGCTTTTATGTTTCATACAAAAGTGAGTATTTCTGAGTTCTATTCGAGATGATTTCTACAACATGAAACTTTGAGTCCATTGAAACTATTGTTTGGAAATAAGAATTGTTAATTTTTAACACCCCCGCACCCTTATCGGGGTTGGGTTGATAAAATCCACTCTTAGTTAAACTTGACATGAAGATTATACGCGACGATTCCTATCAAGTTTAGAGTCTATAGAGGTTACTGTTCGGAAATTGAAATTAAAAATTCTAACACCCGTCTCCGCAATCTCTATTAGAAGTAAAATTTATCCGAACAAAAACAGTTTCACTGTAAAAAAATTGCGCCAAGTCCACGTTCATAAGACTATTAAGAAAAAAATATTTTGTTTTCTTTACAAAAAGATATAAAATAAAAAAATTAAAAAACCCAAGTAACCGATATGATTGTTTATGATTTTCGGAAATTAAAAAAAATTTTCTTGTAAATTTAAAAATTAAAAAAACAATTTTGAAACGTATTTAGTGTGCGCGGTTGCAAAATATTTTACTTTTAACTAAATTCGTAAAATCTATTTACTAGAACTTTAAAAAAATTGAAAT